CGGAAGTCGACCGAAATTCTGTAAGCGTGAAAGCCCCCAAATGTCTCTCAATCGGGGACAGGAGTCTGTCCGTGACGTGGGATCCCCCCAGGACCGGGCCAACAATTGCAATCCAGACCTCTGGGACCTTCGCTTCCCGAGAGCGTTGTAGTCCCCATTCACGCTGTCACCACCCGCGCGCTTGTCCAAGCCCCATCCCGCTGGCTGGGCTGGTGTCATGTGCTGGCTAGGAGCATTGCCCACCCCCCGTGCGACGACTTGGCTCATTAACTTGGCTCCGTTATTATTCAGCCATGGTAGCGCCTTATTAAGCTACCAAATATCCTCCCAGGGCGAGTCAGTTACCCGCTCTATCCTTGCCGGCCAACTGTCAGTGGCTGACCTTTTTCTAGACCCTGTCGTCGAGGGTAACCGAGGGGGAGCACAGACAGGAAGGCAGAAAAAGAGAAGGAAAAAAACGTGAAACTAGCTCCATCCCATCAGTCTTCCATCAACTTGATACGTCAGTTCTTGGGTCGTTAACGGCACTCGCTGGTCCACCCTACAAGATCTGATAACGGGCTTCTCCCCGGATCAGGGAGGCATTGCAGCACCATTAAGCTTGGCAGCGGGTCGACATCGTCTATCTGAGTTTGAACCATCGCTGCTATCCCACAGTCATTCTCTCATGACAGGTGCAAGTCAAGCTTCCGGATTTGGGGCCTGGGTTCTCCTCTACGTAGTAGTAGACCCGCCTATTCAAGTTTCCTGGGACTACAGAGTGCCACCCGACTTGTCCGAAAGAATCAAGACAGCCCGTTCGCCAAGACCGACCTTCCCTGGATGCAGCCCATTCCCCAGCGTCGGGGGCATCATGCGCAGAGACTCAGAGAGAAGCTCCCACTGGCATCTCAACATTGGAAAACGGGGCCGCTGTCCCCGTTCCTGCGGACTTCTCCTGGTGCTCAACGACACCCATGGCGCACGTCATGGAGTCCGTTGGGATAATACCTCTAAACATGTAGACTTTGGGTAGCAACCGCTTGGCCCGCTCGTCGAACCGAATCCGGATATGAGCAAGGAGGCTCGGAGCGACGCCAAGAACATTGCAGTATAGGGGAGGGGGGAGCTTAGAGAGAAAAAAGTGACGTCTGGCTGTATTGTCGTGGCCATGATAAATAAGACTCTTAGGACCGTCCCCTTTGCTGAAGAGGTGACTCTGAGATTCATCACACACGTGCTCGCTGTCATCACTCACTTACATTCGCTCATTATCTGACAACATGCGTGCTGCTCTCATCTCCGCCCTCGCGGCCGGCGCTGCCGCCACCCGCCCGTTCCTGAACGAGCCGGATACCGGTATCGAGCTTGCCCTCGGTGACCTCGCTGTTGGCGCCCTGCCCAACCTCACCCAGATGGTTGGCCTTCCCGACTTCGAGTACGCCGCTCGCAACTACCTCCCCATCAAGAACTACACCTACTACCGCAACGGTGCCGCCGGTGAATGGTCTTACCGCAACAACCTCGAGGTCTTCGGCCGTTACCGCCTCCGCCCTCGCACCATGGTTGACATTACCAACATTGAGTCTACCCTCAAGTAAGTCCAAGCTTCCAAGCTTCCTATTCTGACGAACTCCCTTGGATGGGTTCTTGGGTTTTCCGCAAATCGCTGACTCGCGCAGCACTACCATCCTGGGCCACAACTTCTCTGCTCCGATCTTCATCAGCCCTGCTGCCCGTGCTGACTACGCTCACGCTGATGCTGAGCTCAACCTGATGAGGGCCGCTGCTGCGGAGAACATCCTCTACATGCCCGCTCTCTACGCCGCCAAGACCATTGAGCAGATCGCCGAGGTCAAGGCCGAGGGCCAGGTCGCCTTCCAGCAGGTGTACCTCACCACCAACGACACCGCGACCCAGGTCCTCTTTGACCGCATCAAGGCCTCCGGCGCCAATGGCATTGTCTACACAGTCGACTCCGCCGCCGATGGCAACCGCCACCGCGCTGCTCGCTTCGCCGTCGGCTCCGCCGACTCCGACTACTCCCTCATCACCTGGGATGAGTACCGCAAGCTGTCTAACATGACCGACCTCCCCATCATCATCAAGGGCATCATGACCGTTGAGGACGCAGAGGCTGCCATCGAGAACAAGGTTCCCGCCATTATCCTTTCCAACCACGGCGGTCGCCAGCTTGACGGCTCCCCCTCCTCCCTCGAGGTCGCTCTTGAGATCTACGAGAAGGACCCCGAGATCTTCCAGAAGATCGAGGTCTACGCCGACGGTGGTGTCCGCTACGGCGCTGATGTCCTCAAGCTTCTTTCCCTTGGCGTCAAGGCTGTCGGTCTCGGCCGCCCCATCATGTTCTCCAACATCTTCGGTCAGGAGGGTGTTGAGAAGGCCATTCAAATTCTCAAGCACGAGATTGCCATTGATGCCGGTAACCTCGGTGTCCCTGATCTGAAGAAGATTGACGCCAGCTACGTAAGTCGAACACAACCTATATGTTCCAATGTACAACACCCGCTAACAACCTCAACAGGTCAAGTGGACCCCCAACAACTGGTACTCTTGAGCGTTTCGCTGAGTACTAGATGAGAAGTCGGGATATAGAGGGGATCTCTTCGCTTGATTCGCATGACGTAAATGATACCACATGAGTGCTGTACATACTCTTTCTTTTCTAGCTGCACATAGCTTTTACCTGCGAATTGATACCCCTCAATCAAAAGTTCTTTGAAATTTTCAACGAAAGCCCCATTATTCATGGCATGTGTTTGATCATGCAAGTCGGACATGAGTAATTCAATCCCATTGTTCTTTTACATGGACAAAGCGCAAAACCGTAAAGTGCAAGAACAAACAATGCGATAATATCTCAGCTCAAAAGCTAGCAGAATAGTCTCCAAGGTTAGTTGGTGTGTATGTGTATATAATCTCAATATTGATATATGAATGATGCTAATGAGACTTTTTTTGTAAAGAAGCCAGCAAATCTTTCACGCCTCTCCCATCACGACATCATCTTCCACACACAATAAACTTACGAGTAAGTCCTCCGCTCCCCTGTTTTCACCCTGGCGATTAGTCACCTTGAAGAATACACCATGTGTATCACCACCTTCTTTGTCCGTGTTTGTGCCAAGTGCGACAAGGAGATCAGCCGTCTAAAGCAGGAGAACGTCAGTTGCAAAAGTGCCTCTCGGGCTGATCCGAAGTGTTACGGAAAGACTGAGGACTATCGATTCTTCAAGAAGCTCTGCTCTTACTGTCATCCATCATGCAGCTGCTTCTCAAATGATGCGCTGAACAAGATTCTTGGCTCCGACTGGGACTTTTCGTCTGCCGACAAGCTGCAGGATAACCACGTTCATACTGCACCTACAATTGGAGACGAGATTGAGCGTTTGTGTCATTGTGTCAAGAAGATGCGGCTGGACGCCGATGGTCGAACCAAGTAGGTGTCTAGACCCGACTGGTGGAGATGTTTCAACTCGCAATTTGGCAGCGCCTTTGAATTGAGCACACGGATTGACCCGTGACGAGTCCCAGATAGACTGAAGTTATGAATTGACTTGTGATTGGACGAGATTGAATATTTGGACTTGTGAGTGCTGTCGTGATCTGCTATGGTATATTCAGTGATTACCTTGGCTTCCGACGGTTAAGGAACACATTGAATTACTAGCACGTGATTAGATGTAAAGTGTGTGAATTACAGTTTTTTGGACTTCGCTATAAGTCCGGACTGATGGAAGATCATGCTTTCACTACCTAAGGTGGAGTTCCCATCACACCCATTGATCCACACCAACGAGGTTCATGGTGGCATATTACCCAGGATGCTTCTTCTGACTAAAAGTGGAGCGTTGTGTATCTAACATCTTTCTAGCCCATCGATCAGCGAGAATAGTCGTCAATGCCATATGAACTACGATTTTCAAGCTAACCATACCGTTTCTACTTGGGAATGAAGTGAAATACGGGCACCAGGGCTCATAGAGCCGCAATATTCAAGTCTTATGCTTTAGTCCGTTTCGAGACTGACCTTGAACTGCCGCGGTAGGCTCTGATAAGCGATACGCAGCATATGGGCCCACCCATAACTGCTTGCTACTTTGTTCTTTTGGCATCGTCAGTACATGAATCATAACAGAGATTAAAGCACGATAGCCCTGCACCCTATAGGCTGAAAGTTACCAAATAAGAGCAGCGGATGATTCGGTTGGGACGCCCGCTTCTCCGCGATGTTGCGCCAGGTTTGATAGTTTGGCATCTTATTTTGTGTGGTATTTTAGTTCCTGAGACCTTCTCGGCTCGCGGCGATCGATATGAAGGGGCACTTATTGCCCATCAAGCAGTCTGTAAAGATTCTGGCATGATATGTGGAATCCCGTTGAGTGGGCTCAAGTTGGGATCAATTGAAGGTTCATGGAGGTACATGTAAGGTAATGAAGATTGAATGCTTTGTGCTAACTCATGGCTTATTGTATGCAGAGCTTATGCTAATTTCTTGTTAAGACCAAGCTCATGCTCCTGAACCAGCCACTAGGCTACTGCCATCTTGAGACAATGTTGCTTTTAACAACATACAATTAATCATAAAGAGATGCGCGTATGTTCAGCTATGCTAGCAGCAAGCTTATTGCCGCTAGGTCTTTGAGCTATGACTTTTAATCCGACACTCCTATTGCACTATCTACAGAGACCCAGGTAAGCGGGGGCGACTCAGCAATTACGCACAGCGCTAGCTAGTGAAACATGGGTTTGCGGATCGTCGGACAAACTTTCGATACCGAAGGACAGAAACTCTGTACAGAGCGAATTAAAAGGAGGCGGCACCATCTTTTGCGCGCCCGTATCGACGAGACATATGCAGACCTCCCCATACCACGAAGCAACAAAGCTCCACGTCACCTCTCCTTTCCGGCCAGTGTTAAAGTCCTCCCTCTTGCCCTCACAGCGCCGGCTGTTCTTTCGGGCCCGCTGGGATTCTCGGCCCTTGTCTCGCCTAGGGAAACATGGCCACCTTCCCATCCGGAGCCTCGGGGCCGGACTCGATATCTCCCGATAGTGACCAGCCAGGTACCGGTCGGCGCCTCATTGCCTGCGTTGCATGCCAAAAGCGGAAAGTCAAGTGCAGCCGGGTGTTTCCTTGTGCAAATTGCATTAGGGTATGTTATGTTCCGTCGGGTTGCTCCGCGCCTTAGAGGACTTGAGGCTGATGTGTTGCTACTAGTCATCCAGCCAATGCATCCCTGGAACGCCAGCTCCTCCGCGAGGGAGGAAGCCGTACAATCAAGCTCTCAAAGCACGTCTAGCCCGCTGTGAGCAGCTACTGAGTGGTCAAGCTCCAGCGGTGGCGTCAAGTGCTTCCCCGAATGCTGTCTCCACGCCAAAGACGTCGCAGTCTCAAAGTCCGGCGGACCCTTCTCCGGTCTCTAGATGGACACCGGAAGGGAAGCTGGTAGAAGATCCAAATGGCAAGCTCGCCTTCATGGATAACTACCTCTTGGGGCTGGTTAATGAGGAGGTACGTCATTCTCCGCACTTATCGTTGGACATCAAACCACTCACATGACATACCTTACCGTAGCTCCGAGCCATGGATGAGCTCATCAGCCTTGATGAGAACGAACGCAGCAGTCCACTTGATAGCAGGCCTTCCGACCCAAACACAGATCTACTCCTTGGAGATGACGCCCCCAAATCTTCAGTTCTCGACGCTTGGCCGGATGCCGCACTTGTTTTCAAGCTTTGGCAAATCTTTCTTGACCGAGTGAATCCCTTCACCAAAGTGATTCATGTTCACACCTTTCAGCCCTATGTCGTGGAAGCTACAAATGGCACCCAAGGTCTACCAGAAAATATCATGGCACTACTGCTGTCCATCTTTTTGATGGCAGTTGTTGCCATGTCAGAGGAGGAATGTTTGGCCGCGCTGAAAAAGACTAAAGAAGCTGCCGTGGCCTTGTTTTCCGCTGGCATTCGCCAGACAATGAGGCAGCTCAATTTCATGCGTACTAACGATCTAGTCATTCTCCAGTCGCTCTGCCTGTACTTGGTAAGTTTGGTAACTACGACCCCACAGCTAAGAAAGCCGAAGCGATATACTGACTTTATCGGCAGTATTCCTTGCAAGACAGATATGACCGCCACAGCTCGTGGGTCTTCAGCGGCACCGTCATCCGAATCGCTCAAAAGATGGGGCTCCACCGCGACGGCGATGTGCTTGGCCTGAAGCCCTTTGAATCAGAGATGAGGCGCAGGGTATGGTGGCAGCTGGTATCACTCGACGCAAAGTTTGCTTTGTTCTCCGGCTTTGGCCACTCGCTGCTCCCTCGGGACTGGGATGCTAGGGAGCCGAGCAACTTGAACGACGCGGACATCTTTCCGGCCGCTGCGCAGCCAACACCGGACCGCGACGGCCCCTCAGAGATGATTCTATGCTTGATCCGACACAAAATCACCAAGTTTCTAGTCGACACGCCCGGTCTCGAGCCGGTGAAGATGATGGGCGAGCTGAATGAGTCCGGCGGTGCTCAGCCAGTAGCAGGGGGAACGAGAGAACAGCAGATGAGCTACTACCTTACCCATTTCGAGTTGTTCGAACAGGGCCTCCAGCACATCTTGGACAACCGATGCAACCCCCACGCGGGACAAGTACACGTCATGGCTCAAGGGCTCATATCGGCTCTTCTTGTACAGAAACGGCACTTGATCAAGAGCATTAGTGACGGGCCTAGACCTGACGCCGTGGGTCAGAGCGGAGAGGACAATGCTTTCATGTGGGCTGTTTCCACGCTTGAGCATACGTCGTTTCTTTACTCTTCTTCAGAGGGTACGGGTTTCCTCTGGTTCGCTGATTTCAACTTCCAATTCGAGGTACTACTCTACGTCGTGGTGCTGTTGGGACAAAGACTTGAAGGACCCATTGCACAACGTGCCTGGGAAAAGATTGAAATACTCTACCGGTTCCGGCCCGGGTTATTCAACGTTACCGACAAATCCTGCGCGACTCTGGCGCATTTCGTATTACGGGCATGGTCGAAGAGATTGGATCTGCTCATTAGATCTGGTTTCCCGGGAGAGTCACCGGAATACATCGTTAAGCTACAAGCTTGTGTCGAAAACGTTGTTCATAACGGTAACAACCCTCTAGGCTCACTGAATCCTCAAGAAACAACGCCAGTCAACACGCAGATGTGGGCACACGCATTAGAGGCTGAAGGGGTGCCGCCGTTTTCGTACATTGGTGTCGGACGGGGTCATTTTTCGAATCCTGAAACTTCCGCATGGTCCTTCTTAGAGACTATGAATGGGCGAGAGAACGAAGATGAGCCGGAAGATTCGGTATTCCCTGTTGCGTTATGAGGATCTTGTAGATAGTTATGCCTGGGCGATGAATGATTTGATTTTCGGCCTTTTGAGTCGACCGGCAGCATTTATATATAGGTAGATCTAGGTATTATGGGATGGAAGGATACTTGACCAATGTTCATTGACAGCTCATTATTTCCTGGAATACCCAAGCCCCTTCTCATTGGACCCTTAGGGGCAGCCGCCACTCCGAGAAAACATCACACCAGCTGCAAGTCAATGAATACAACAGCCATCATGCGCCGAAAGGCTAGTTGAGAATAACGCGGTGAGTTAGGGCCCTATCCTGGGCACAAAAGCGTACCGGTTGCGCAAGGGGGAATGCTGATCCTGTGCGGACACCCGGAAGTGAATATTTTCCCGGTTCTCCGAGAAAGTTGTTCCGAAGTTTGGTCGAAAGTGGGGCCCCTTCAGTCCGCTCCGAACTCCACCCCGAAAGTAGTGGGACATTGGCGATCCGACGGCCGGCTCATGCATTTCTTTGCCAATGCCCTTACAATGCGATGATATTCGGGGTTGGAAGACTGGAATTAGTACCCAGCGGAGTTTTGTCTTGTTTGGAGAGCTTTGTCACGGAGTTTTGCTACACTCCTAGTGGCCGATACTCGGTTGTTGATGGAAGGGCCACTCCAGGGAACACAGAATGTTGGTATAAGTAATGGGCGGTTCGCACTTCGTCTAGACTATAGCCAAATTTGATCACAGTTCATCATAGTCAGTAAAGATGACACTTGATACGAACAAAATTCTGGCCAATTGGTCGACCTTCTCGGCCACGGTGTTGGAGAGTCTGGCTCAAATTAGTCCAGCACAAATGCTTATTGCAACATTGGCTCTCGTAAGTCGAACGCCGCTAAGGCATACAACGAGCTGTATGAGCTAATCATGACGATTCACTTCTCTTGTTATAGATTCCCGTCTACTTCGTCGTCGGGCTCTTGTACAATGCGTACTTTCATCCTCTAGCCAAATTCCCTGGTCCGCTCTATGCCCGCTGTTCGGACATTCCATACATGGCAGTGCATACAAAGGGCGAAATGCTTCCATGGCTCAGCTCTCTTCACGCCAAGTACGGTGATGTTGTACGAATTGGGGCCTCCAGACTTAGCATCATCAATGGCCAGGCTTGGAAGGACATCTACGCCCACAAGACGGGAGGCAAGAAAAACTTCCCGAAAGATCCGCGTGTGTACGGAACCGACCCCAACGGCCACCGCAATCTGATCACGACATTGCCAGACTCCGACCATAGCCGCCTCCGAAGAGTCTTCTCGCCAGCGTTTTCGGAAAGAAGCCTCAAGGCTCAGGCACCACTGATTTTGTCGTACGTAGATCAGCTCATGGGGAACATCCGCCGTGGCATCCAGACAGACTCTGACGCCAAGTTCGACATGGTGAAGTTGTACAACCTGACGACATTCGACATCATGGCTGAGCTGGCGTTTGGAGAATCGCTTGGCCTTCTCGCCGACTCAGAATACTCAGAATGGGTCGCCAACATTTTCGACAATCTCAAGAACGGCGCCTTCGCCCAAGTTGGGCGGGAGTGGTCATGGCTGGGCAACATTGTGAAGTTGATCACACCACCGAGACTCAAGCAGGCTGCCGACATGCACTTCAGGCATTCCATTGAACGAGTCGATCGCAGGCTTGAAAGGAACACGGATAAGGCCGATATCTGGAAATTGGTCCTCAGCCAGCCCGAGGGAAAACAGATTGACAAGTTTGACATGTATAACAACGCGTCTGTCTTCATGGTCGCTGGATCCGAGACCACGGCAACCATTCTCAGTGGCGTCACATACTTGCTCCTCCGGAACCCCGACAAGCTGGCTCTTCTTGTGAGCGAAATACGCGGGGTAGACTCTGAAGACGATTTGGACATTCAGAGACTTTCTGCGTTGCCATACATGACGGCCGTTCTCAATGAGGCACTGCGTTGGTACCCCCCAGTTCCTGTTGGAGTCTGGAGGGAAGTTCCCGAGGGTGGTAGCGCTGTTGCAGGACATTGGATCCCGGAAAAGGTATGAAATCTTGTGAATCGCCTCTCATCATGGATAAAGGTTGCTAATTGTTATTTCAGACTCGCGTCTCCGTCCCGCAGTTCCCTGCGAACCATTCGCCGCGCAACTTCAAGGATCCTGAAGCATTCATCCCTGAGCGTTGGATTCCCGGGCCAGAGTATGAGTCAAACACGAAAGAGGTTGTCCAGCCATTCTCTATCGGCCCTCGGAACTGCATTGGAATCAAGTAAGTCTTCTTCCTTTTCTAAGTTGCAGCAGCTTCGGCCGGCTGACCATAATTTCTCCGTCTTAGTCTTGCTTGGCACGAAATGAGACTCATCCTGGCCAAAACGCTTTGGAACTTTGACCTCAGCCTTTGCCAAGAGAGTGAGAATTGGTCGGATCAGAAGTCTTACATTCTCTGGGAGAAACACCCGCTCATGGTGACCATCAAGTCCGTGCGATAAAGTATTATCCAAAAGGGGTCCGAGAGCTGGAATTACTTCAATATGGAAACCCCCGTCACGAGTGTAAAACATGCAGAGATAGATTTTAGAGATTGTGCACATTGTTATGATAATGTTATAGACTTGTGATACAGTTAAGCCGCCGTTTCATGGCTTGCGTTCACCTGACCTGTGCACCAAGTAATCACTGAGGTAGTTGGAGTTGCCAGCCATACGACGTGATGCTAGTACATGTTGGAAACGGATCATGGGGGCGGAGCAACTCGACTACGTCATTCTCTTCCTCTTTAGGACACCAATCCAACATCAACTGGAACCGTCGTGCACCGAGTAAACCCCATGAAAACGCATCTTGAACACCTCAACCTCGACACTCCACCACGAAATCCGAAGCCAACGACATTCTTATGGCTATTCAAGATAAACCACAAGCATCAACGGCGCCGGCTACGATCAAAGTCGGCGACCGAGCTGGCTGGTTGGAAGCGTTGAGGTCTCAACGGCCCGTCCTCGTACACCTCAATGCCGATACCACATGGCTCATTCAACTGCCTTATCCTCCATCGTCGGTCCCGCCTGCTGGTCGAAAGCATTTTAATGTTCTCATCGACCCGTGGCTGCAAGGTCCGCAGTCCGACGTCGCGTCATGGTTCTCCACACAGTGGCATGTCGTCGAACCTAGCCTGAAAACTATGGACCAACTCAATTCAATTCTTGCAGGCTTTGAAGACGGCTCCGAAACCCCAAAGGTCACTGACAGATCATATATCGACGTCGTGGCTATTTCGCATGAGTTCACCGATCACTGTCACCAAGCGACTCTAGAAGAACTTCCAAAGTCAACGCCAGTGTTTGCTACTGATAAAGCTGCTGACCTCATCCGCTCATGGAGTCACTTTTCTTCCGTCACCACTACCCCTGGATTCTCCTCCGAAACAAAAGATTGGAAGTCTGATCTTAGCATTTCCGGCCTCCCGCCATGGGTCGGAATTGGGCGCGTCATCACGGAAGGAAACGCCCTGTATTATCATTCGGCCATTATGATTGCCTTTGACTCGGAAACACCGGAGACAATATTGTACTCTCCTCACGGTATACAAGCAACAGATCTAGAGTGCATTCGCAAGTCCGGCTTCTCAACACTCGCTTTACTTCATGGCCTCCACGACGTCCGCATCTGGATGACGAAACAGTTAAACTTGGGAGCTCTGAATGGTATCCAAGCTGTGGCTGAGACTGGAGCTCGGTATTGGGTTGCGACACACGATGAGGCAAAGGAGGGCGGTGGGATCATCGCACCACTGCTTATGCGTACGCAATATACTCTTAAACAGGCTGTCGAGGCTGAAGAGGCAAGGATGAATGGCAAAGTTCCAGAATACGATTTCGTTGAGCTTGGCTCAGGGGATGGACTGGTTTTGCAGTGATGAGCTTAGATTGGAAGTCTAATCATCATCATATGAAGTAATTACGCTCTCTCGGGAAGCGGCACAATGCGACCACATATGGGAGACCAGCATAAGTTACATGTGACGGTGAAGTATCTTGGTATGCCCATGTCTCATGCCAGAGACAGTGAACCTTTTCTCACTGCACTGTGCTTATGTCAAGTAGCACCAGCAAGATCTCAAGACAGGCATTTGTAAGTTACTAGAATAATCGGCCTCTTTGAATGTGTGACATTACCTGTGTGACATTATCTTCTCAGGATGGGTTGTTGAGAGACCTCCCGCGTGTCGGCAGACGAGCAACCTCGTCCAGACTCCCCGGGTTGAAAGGTGAGAGCGAGACCGACCCCATGAAAAGCAGATGACTGGCAGACAGGAGTCTCTTCCCGGTCATCGTAATGCTCGATATGGAAGACTGTCCTTCTAGAAACAAATGATTGGCGAAGAGGGCATGCGGGAGTACATTCTACGCTATTTCGACGATGGTGCGTGGTTGAGTTCTAAGTGGATGGGCGACATGATGGATACGATTGCAGCCAACGTCTTTGGGAAATTCGTAAGTTTCCCCTATTCTTGCGATACACGAGACATCAAGTTACTAACGCATTTGTCAGAGAGAGTTTGCACTCATCCGCTCTATGAAGACAGCAAACAAGAGAGAGTAAAAGTTCCTCGTCACGTCCGCCGATCAAAAAGTTGTCCCGACTGTGAGTACATGTATCTGCCTGTTTTTGATCTTGCCAGACTGAGTTGGAATATTGATTGTGCTTCTCTTGCCAGGGGAATGGTGTCACTTACATGAACCAGGAAGCTTTCGAAAGCAAAGCGGCGCGCATGTGGTATGATGATGTGAGTTTGCGAAACCGCTACCATCTTCGTCTTTTCACACCGAATGGGATGCTGACCAGTCGTCAGAACTGCATCGGACTTGGCTACGCCGAGATTGGTGTTGATAGCAAACTTAAGCATTACACCATCAGCGATAGTGAAGCCGAAGACATGAAGCACTGGATCCGTGACTCCCGCGCCGCACTGATCAATGACTAGGAGTGCTACAAGTTGAAGGATGGAGATGGCAAGTTGGACGATGCCGTCTTCCCGCCGCCCTTCGATGCAGCGGCAATGATTGAATACCCTGTCTACTTCTGGAACATGTGGTCCAAAGACGTAACTACCCACACGTAGCTTGTCTGCAGGGCCTGCGATGGGCTTGGGCGAGTCTTTCATAGCTCCGTGGCTGAGCATACAGCGACTGGTGGTCCTACCATATAACGCCGCGTCTTTCCAATTGTACCTATTGTTTGTAATCAAAATTTCAGTAATATCTCAATGTAAATAAATCATCATCCCGAACTCTTCCTGGTATGCGCCAGACATTACACGCGTCTGTGAAGCAGTGCTCTATAGACAGCATTTGACGCGGATCCTTCACGTTTTCCTCGAGGTACTTGGAACAGACGTTTAAAGATTTTGTCCCACAATATGTATTGAACCAGTCGTAGAGATATAGAAATTGTTTGACTAAATTAAGCGTATCCAAAGTAAATATTCGGTAATGACTGTGCTGATCTACCAATCATAATAAACCCCGATTAGATATCAAACGCTGTCAGACGATTTTCAAGCATCTGAAGACGTTGCCGGACCACCTTGATCCGGGTCTAAAGCGACACGAGAGAAGTAAGAGCACCAAGCATGTTGATGATCTGTCCAGAGTACGCAGTGACACAAGCCTGAATAGATCCACCAGGGGGGATGATGATAGATCCCGAACCGACCTCAGAGTCACCGCTGCGGGAGACACCGATCCGCTTGCCACCAAGCTGGTAGTACACCTCCCTGGGGTTGATGCGGTTGATTCCACCAGCATCCATGACGTCGACTTCGAATGTAGCCTTGAGGTTACGCTTGCCATTGTTGTTCCATCCGGCGCTGCAAGTGGTGACTTGGCCCGGGTTGGAGAAGGTGTTGGCGACCCAGGTGTGGATGTTGGGCTTGTCGACGCAGGTGACGTCCCAAGCGCCCTGGCCAATCTCGTTGTAGCCGTGGAACTCGACGCACCACTGGTTCTTGCCACAAGCGCCGGGGAGGCGGTAGAGGATGTCGGCGTGGGAGTTCTCGGCCATGCAGGAGACCTGAAGCTTGTTAGCGTGCATCCTCCAGGGCGGGATGAGGTATGCTCACTTTGAAGGTGTTCACGTCGGTGCCGGTGCGGTCACAGGTGGCTTCACGGTAAAGCCACTGTTTGAATGTTAGCACGAGCCTTACTCAGGTAGGTACGAGATGACAAGTTCATACCTTTCCGCCGCTGCGGGGCAAGGGGCGACGACCTCTGCAGACAAAGGCAGACGCGGAGCTTCGTGCTTCAAGCTCTCTCTGAACCACGTTGGCAGGGTTCTCATTCTGAGAGTACAACTCAATGTTTCCCAACTCGGAGAGCTCGATATCCTGAGTGGTGGTGGTCCACTCAGCCCGGCGTTCCAAAGAGTCAGAGGGAACGGCTGCGAGGGCCGTCGGCAGGATAGCGGCCAACAGAGCCGCGGATTGGATGAGTTGGAAATGCATCTTGATAAATGGAATAAATGACAGTCGTTGTAAAGAGTGATGATGAGTGAGTGTGGTTGAGAATGAGTGGATGAGAAGGCTGGTGAGTTGTCTGGCAGGAGAGTTGATTCCTCATGGCTTTCCGGAATGCTTTATACTCGACTTGAGGCGGAGAAGCCGGAAATCATCAACAAAATGCGGTTCTTCATGACTGACATTCACTCATGCAAGTGGACAGCTCCATGACTTACAGTTTGAAGCTATCTCGAGACTTGGGTGGAGTTGATAGGTCTTTTTGCCGGGGGCCCGAAAGCGAGGAGGCTAGGCGCACAGCTTGGTGGAACAGGGTATTTTCGCCTAAAGACAGAGCAACTTCTTAGAGTTTGACTATGTTGCTCCATAGACAATCTCGTGAAGCCTGTGAAAACCAAATGTCGTCTTGCTCATTTACAGAGACCCAGTGGAAGCTAATGGCGACCGCATGACTACGTTCTAGCCATCTCTAGACCGACTGTACTCGGATCCCCTGCATAGAATAAACTTTCAACGCTGCTGAAGAACTTTTGGCTATATGATGGATTTCATGAGGCTCTCCGAGTATTCGGCGATTGTGATAGAACAGGATCCTTACAAGTCTTTTGCTAAGAGAGCCGTGGTGGTCTTTCCTGTACCCAAGAATACGCAAAGTATCTTTGTTTTCGCAAGGAAGCCGTCGTCTCGTGTCTGAACTTGTATTGTGCAAGGTTGCCTTTACGAATTTTCTACCTCCTGAAATTTAGTCAAATACGGAGTTCTGGACAGCGTTAACCAGAGGGTATTAGGACTAGCTTCATATATTTACACTTATGCTAAGCTTTTAGCTAAACCTCGGAAAGACGTTACATGACTCTCGTCATGCACCGAATAGGCAATACCTAGACGACATGGGCCTTTTGAGGCATTGTACACGCCAGTAGAATTTCTTCCAGCGTTAGGATCATTATTCGGTCAATTCGGTCCCTGAGTAAACCTTCGTGCTTTCGGCGACCTCGACTACTACATCGCGAGCGTCACGCCCAGCGCACGGTGACGTCGGTCTCGAATCGCCCCCGTAATTCCGCAGAGCTTAGTTGAGTATCGTCTTTGAAACTCGGTGTCTATAGATACCCCGAGCTTCATTATCATCCTACGTGCTGAGTAATTATTACCCCGGAACCTTACTCTCCTTTTCTGCTGAGTTCTGAATACCGTGGCGTGGGTTGAGTAGGCTTATGAGTGTTTGGTGTGAAAGCTGTATACGGGAATAGGGGCACGTCTGTCAAAATCCACTCATTGAAGTGGGGGGCATAGAAGGAGTCACTGCAAGAGGTAAGGGTTGAAAATTTGATTTTATTCAGAATCGACAAGTGGCTGAACTATGCTGTGCGGTGGAAAGATACAGACAAAAAATGAAAAGATCAAAGACAGCGAGCTCAGTGTCCTTTTTACACGAGCACACAGCTGTCCTACCATAACTCCTGAATTGTAACAGAATGCAGAAACCTGGAACCAACCCACGTGCATCGATCCCGGTGATGCCGGGCTAAATGAGGGCTAGTCCACTCCGGGGGCACGAGCGCTTTGCCAAGGAAATCGCAGTCGAGTTCCGAGTGGCGCGCGGGGATCCTTGGGGACTTGCTACGAGCCGTCACCCGACATCGTCCAGGGACTATCAAGCTTCTGGGCAGTAATTTTATCAAATTTGGTCCCTGTCGTCAAAGTTCCACGGGTTTCCGCGGAGGTTGGTCCCTCATCAGAAGAATAATTGAAAGAAATAGAAGAATCAGAGGCGGAATCCGTTGTCAGCTCAGGCGTGTTATCGCTAAAATAATCTGGCGACCCCAAGAGCTCGGAAACGAACTGCAGGGGCGCGAGTCGTGCGCTATACGTGCTGCTGCTGTCGGACTCATCGCCCGAAGGGAGCTCGTCTAGTTCTGGGGAGCAAAGAAATTGCGCGAAAGATTCATCTCGGCCGAGTTCGGCTAGAGATAGGTCGAGGGCGAGCTGCACATCATCGTCGTATGAGATCTGCTGGGGTTTGGACTTGCGCGCCCGCTTGGCAGGACGCATGGTGTACTCAGGCTCTGAATGGTGATTAATGATATCGAGACCGAAAGCAGGACCACGGATATGCTCATCGTCGTAGAGAAGACCCAGCCGATACAGCTCTTCGATGTCGGGGGCGTCTTCCGGGTAGAGCCGGGCTTTCGTTGTGCGAGGATCCCGGAAGGCATCTTGTCTCTCCAGGGACGGCGTCCGACGGTGCTCGCCCGGGAGTTTGTGGCCACTAGAGGCCAGGTTGCGGCCCTCGGCCGCCTCGTCAGTGCGCCATTGCCGTGTAGAGCGGTGAGTCTGGCCCCGACGTGTCTGTCGGCGCTGACGGGCCCGTTTCTGGTGGTTTGCGGTGAGGACGAGGTCGAGGAGAGGAAGCTTCTGATCGGCGAGCTCTCGGTGCAAGGCGATGGAGCCGTCGGGGTGGAAGTAGGCGCCGTTGTAGTGGGCGCGGGGGCGCGGCCTGCTGACCTGCGAGGGGCCGGGGGGCAGGTACCGCTGACTGAGATCTAGATCTAGGGCATCGCTGCTACTGCTGTGAAGTCTTAGACCCATGCTGGGCAGAAGGTGGCTTTATATACGGGGGCTGTTTCTGGTTGGAGTTTGCGTGTGGCGGGTGGTGTAAGTTAGGACCGGAAGGGAGATGTGTCCTAGGAAGGGCGTAGAAAAGAGGTAGAGCAAGTCGACAAGGGGTCTGACGCAAAGGTGCGCGCGGTGACTTGAGACCGGTCGAAGATGATGGTTGTAGTATGAGACAGATGCAATGTCGATGAACAGCAGAGATATAAGTACATCTAGACAGATTACCTCGATGTTGTGAGGCGAAACTGATAATGTTGGCCTCCGACGGGTGAGTTGGGCCTGGCGTAGGCTGTAACGCGTGGGCGCCTTCGCTCATCCCTGTAGCCGGCCTGCAGAACGCTCCCGAAAGCTTAGTATTAGTCCAACTTGGGGATGTTCAAGGGTCCTGATGGTGGGTTGCAACGGCCGCTGATTGGGGACTAAGTGGCTGATGAGAAGTGAGTCATGCTTGGCGATGATGAGGGCGCAGCGCGTGCTGTGTTACCTGGCAGGCTGACAAGTGACACGACGTGAGATGTTGCGTAGTGCTTCAACTTCCCATTGCCCTGGTACATGCCTGCCTTTCCTAAGACTCGCACATGGACTAGAAGAGGCGATGGATCTCATGCCGCATGTTTCTTGCCTTGTTTCTAGAAGCTCCTGAAACACTTGTTCCCAACGAAGTCCGAAAATTGGCAAGGCGGCTATCAGTGGCTACGGTGGGCAGTGGGTAGCCGAGACCAGGGGCAGTCATCAGCGCGGAGGTTTGCCTCCAAAGTTTGCGTGCCTTGACAAGTTGGGTTCTGAAGAGACCACAATAAGATAACCCCAGCGAATGGTTCACAGCATGGCAGATGATTCACACTACATAGATGAACTGGTGAAACTGAAAGGTGGTCTCGAATACTACCAAGCAAGTTCTTGTTCCATTCATTCCATTCGTCTTAGAGAAACCCAACGAGCTGGTTGACTCACGGCACGGGGCTACCGGCGATCAATTGGGTTCACTGCATGATCTCATCCCGGTCGCTAATGCAGCATCGCGATGAGATGACTCCCACATCCCTGACTCGATGAACATCAATACACGTGGATAGATATTACGAGCTGATGAACTTTCAATTGGACTTGATGATTGGACAATCGATTCTGCCCAACACATGATTTAGGGTGGTAAGGCACGCAACTAAGTGCGCGGACATGTCGCCAGCACTTCATATGGGACTTTTAGCACTCATCCCTGGTCCACTTTAACGTCGACGACGCAACACAGACAGAGCTTCTTCAACATCTGATGGAACGTCCAAGACCCATGTCACTTCATGTGATATTTGAAGTGACGACGCGGGGCGGACATCACATGTGCTTGTACTGGCAACAAGCACACTTCACACCATCGCTCATATTTTCTTGCAATGGTGAAGTTGTGAACACAGTACCATGAAGAGATTTGTCTTGGCCTATTGATCACAGGCAAGCTACGCCACGTCCTTGCCGGATATCGTGTCCAAGCATCAATATGTGCCACCGTTAAATTACTTCTGAACACAAAAAATTTTCAACGTGAATTTCAGAACATGGCAGCATCTAGTACCCTGTTCAGCAGTAAAGAACAATCTCAATGAATTGAGACTGATGGTGACGATGCCGAAGCAACCTGAATCGATGAGCTCTCTGTGAACGACTGCTTGGTCGGACTCCGCTTGTCGAGGAAGATTTGAGAACTGGGCCGAGTGCGAGTGCCTGAGTGACTCATGTTGGAAGCAAGCGTCGTCGACAACTGAATCACCTTAGACGGCAAAGTCTTTAGCAGTTGCCAAACGTTGGGCATACACGCGACCACAATGCCAACCCCAAGCTCTACGTAGGCCCAGAGAACGACAGCCACTGAGTCAGCGGTAGTGTTGAGCGAGGTTGCGAATGCGATGAGTGTCTTGATACGCAGGATGCTGACGATAGTGAGGCTTCAACTAGTGTTAGTCGACGATGCACAATGGGGGTGGCATGCAGGGGTCGAACTTACAAGACACCGACCAAGAACATAGCCATGACACCAATCTTCTTCTTCCTGTTAAGCTGAAGCTTGTAGATCTGAGTGATCGGCAAAATAAGCAGGATGATATCGAGAGTGATGTTGAGTGAGACGTGGCTCAATCCGATCCTGTTTAAGTCGACGCAGTGGCCTTCGTGCGTACCATCCCATCCATTCCAGAAATGCGAGAACGGCTGGCATTGCGCGAAGCATAGAACCACGTAGGATAGCACCACGAGCATGTTGAGGATCTGCATGAGCCACAAGATGCGGCGGAAACCTCGGTTGGGGAAGATCTTCAAGAAGAAGAAGAGGATGGACGCTTTAACGACGCCTAGGCCGATGATGTAGAAGAACTCGAGAACAAAGAGGAGCTGTGACATGCTTAGTACGCTGTAAAACGCAGTCCGAGAAGTTGGTCGTACTTACCTTGAGAAAATAGGTAATCTCGTAGTCATGTAAAGTCCAAATGTCTTTGCCAAGTCCTGCCTTCACGACTGAAAATGTGGTGTTAATTCCCAAGCACCCAATGACTCTCTCTGATGGCGACGAACTCACAATAGAACAATTCCACAAAGAAACCAATGAACAACGCCTATGGGGCAATTAGAGAGCTAGAAAATCAAGGAGAGGACGATAGTCACTCACAAAAGCAACGATAATCACAGTGTCATCTGCGCCCCAGGCAGAGAGCTTTGCAATTTTGGTAGCCATCCTCATCATGATGAAGATGATGCCGATGGCAGTAACGACTCCACTGATCAAATGAATGTTGGAAGTTTGGTCACTGTACGGGAAGCCACAATTCGACCATGTTGCATTGGTAACGACTACTACGCCGTCAGCTTCGCCACGTTGACGAACAAATGTATTTCCGCCCGGACTCACCCAGGCTCTCTTGTATCGTGCATGTTGATTGAATACAGGGCTGCACCGCGGCGTTGAACTTGGAATCGACGCAGAGGCACGCTTGATCCGTGGGTGAGCAGGTTGTCGAGGGAAGGGCTTTAACCATGCAAGTGATCTAGGGTGAATGATAGTCAGCCAGATGAGTCCTTGGCAGACTCGTGATGTGGAATCGTGACTTACAGCGCAACTGGGAATGCCTTCCAAGCTGAGTGACTTGGCAGCCACCCCAAGGCCGCCAAGGCTTACCAACAGAACAGAGACCACGCGAAGCGAATGCATAATGGAGGGCTCTGTCCGAATGGAAGTTGAACGAGACGGAAGCTTTCAGGGTCCCTCCCACCAACAATCGTTGACAGCAAGGGATCCAGGAACAAGGCCAAGACACAAGGTAGAGAAGGATGATTTAAAGAACGTTTCCTGCGATCAACAGGAGGAGAAGCATGTATGACGGACCAACGCCACAGCTCGCCATTTGTCCAGCTCTTCAACCATTGAAGGGGCTACGTTCCCAAGCTCGCATCGAGGGCACCACGGCAGATGCAGGGGCCGCATCGAAGCATCAGCCCTCTTGCAAGGCCAGGCTCGTCGTGGCTTGATATTTCATTGTTCGTCTTGCTGCTCGCTAGAGGGGATCTAGCCTGTCGATCTGGGCCCACGCACGGATGCGTTTTTGTCTTCGCGGCCACCGGATGAGGGATCGCGTTTGACACCAGTGCCGTCGCTTGGGGAAGACCCAATCATGGCAATCGTAGACCGTCATCGCTACGCCTGACAACGGATGGAAGGAACAGATTCCTATAGGGTGATGGGGGACGGCTAAAAGGCGGAGGCAGCAATCCGCGCCCAGGACGCATCTTTATCAACGCCACAGGCAATGCCTGGCTGCCTGTGCGAATGACACAGTTGACGCGAGTGTGTGCCATTCCATCATAGCTACTCAGAGACTGCGAGAAAGCCGACTGAATATAGCGTAAGCCAATGGGCTAAGCGAGGTACCTAGTGCCATCAAGCCACAGGGGTTGATTAAAAACTCAGGGGGATGCAACTGTATGTGAGCTCCATGGGTAGGAAGAACAACATTCCTTCATCGGTTGGCCCGTTTGATCTCTCAAGGCTCGAAGCATTCGACGCCTCTGAGCAGTCCTCAGGATAGACAATCGCCACCAGCGTTTCCCTCTCACGTTCCTGGAGACTGGAAGAAAAGAACAATATGACCAATCTCGAACGAAAACCATGAAAGACCGCATGCAAGACATTGCAAAGGCCTTTGCGTTCATACCGCCCCGGGCGAGCTTTCCTCGGGAGCCGGAACCTTTGTCTCCACTTTCGGTTCCGGATGCGGGACAGAAGCCACATGTCGACCGATGGTGGCTGGGTTCATCCGGACATGTTTGGTGTCGTGACCATGCGTGGGTTCTAGAAGTACTACCGATCCGATCGATCTGCAGCGTTTAATGACATTTTAGTCGTGTAGGTATTCGAGCCTCCCGGTGTCCGGAAACGTCCGGAGAGACATCGAACATGGGAATCACGGCTCATCGGCCGACAATTCCCGGTGACTAGATTGAAATTCTAACAGATGCAGTTGCGAGTTCAACCCGCTTCTAGAGTTTGGTTTCTCACCCGCCAATCGCCCTTCCCAGCAAAAATAGACGTGTCAGCCAAAAAGATGCTTTGGTGGAACCAATTGACGCGCCGACGTGTAAAGTAATTTGCTCAACTAAGCAGCAAATTTTTCATCACACGATTGAATTGGTTGAGGCTGGGCCTCGGCAAATATTCCCACCTACCGAACTCCTGGTTCCAGAAACCTAGACATCTTCAGGGCTGAAGGTATAACAAGTCTTTGATGCAGCCATCCGCTGAAACGATGCTAACCATGCAACGCTTCAGTGCTCACTAACTACTGATTGTGCTGCGAGTTGCGAGTTGCGAGTTGCGAAATGTGATTCAAGGAGTCGTTCTAGTGCGACAATATAATGACCGAGCGGTGTTCCCAGGACTCGTGTGAACTGCCCGCCGCTCGACCCGGTGTACCCACTCCCGATTTAAATGAGGCGGATGCGATCCAAGACTCCCCTGTATGACTTCGGAATGCCGCGGGCCGTGAAGTGTTCAAGTCGTTGACATACGCAGTGGGCACCATGACTCGTCCCAATGGCATTGATCATGGATTTTCTGGTTCGGCTGGTGGGCAGTCGAATTTTGTTCCGGGAACGCCGTCAGTGCGCTGTGTTGATCAACGTCGTTTCGAGGAACTTTAATCAACATAGAGTTCAAGTCATATTAGTCCAAACACCTCAGGGGCTACACTGCCGTTGTACAACAATGTCATGAACATGTGGAGCCGTTGCGGAAGATGAATCAGTATTTAGACAAGTGACGACTTATAACTCACGAGAAGTTGACAAGACTCACTCAAATCAGCTACAGTCAACTCTTACCCATCATTACTCGAGACTCTACAGACAAACCAAAATGCATATCTCTACTATCTCAACCCTGGGCCTCCTCCTCAGCCTCCCCTTGGCTGCCGTTGCACAATCGCGATGCCAATCGGACACGATTACCACCGATAAAGACAAAGAATATAGCGCAGCGGTCAACTTCGACAGCGCCTCGAAAAAGTACACCGCAACAGTGCCGCCTGGCGACATGTCTCTTACCATTCCTGCCTTAAGCATCACCAACAACGGCGGATACAAGCGACTTTTCTGTCTTGCCAGTGAGCCGGACAGACCACGATCTGTCAGTTGCTTTGCACTTGAGCCAAAGTCGACTTGTGCCTTGCCGGATTATTACGGTGTACCCTTCAGACTCGACACCTACCGTCGTTGAAGGATGACAACTCTAGTGTTGACACTGAGAGTGCTATCGCATATCTATGTGCTACGGCAGATTTCATCGTCACCGCACACCGCAGAATAAGACAATGATACGGCATACGTCTACGGAGTTATTGGGTACTGGCGATTATCGAGATTGCACTACATCTAATAGAATTCTAAAATAAACTTTGAACCATGGATAAAATTCCCTCGCTTTGCCAAATTTGAGAAGTGATTGTTGTTGATCAAATATACCTCTACAAATGTACTTACTCAAGTATAACACTTCTCCCGATACATACACAGTCTAATACTTCAAACCATGCTTCATTCAGCGCGAAGTCTCTGGGTCTCGCCAGGCATATGTGTAAGTAGATCAGGTATCGATTAAGCTTACTGCAAGAAATGCCCAGTCTACAATGGTCGGTGTTCAAATTTCGCTCTTTGCTCGAATAATTCGATCTGTATCACTGAGATTCAGCAAGGCGTTTTCCGTATCAGGATTTCACTTGCAGTGACGCTGTTGAGCCTGTGGGCACTACATGCGAAGCAACTACCTAACAATTACCACAAAGATTTTAATTGTTTGTGGCGCTGGCAGAGCCCGCCACCAACCTCAAGCTTCCTTATATTTTGGAACATGCCTCATTGTGGGCTAGTGTGGCTTTTTCACTTTATGCACTGAGTTGGTTTCCTACAGGCAGCACAACTAAAGTCTCACAAATGGAAAATCAGCTTCACCTCTTATAAAGTCTTGTTCCCAGTGATAGTTACTAAAGGTATTAAGTCCTAGAGAAATGACAGCATTGTACCTTCGTAATCGGTTAAACGCTTCTTCCGCGAAAGATCACCGATGCTATGGTTCTTGACCAGCATTGTTGACAAAGCAGTCAACAACAGAAAGATATGAGATCAGTCAACAGTTGCATGCTGTAACCTGCGAAGACGAGGAAGAAACGTTATTGCAGCAAATTTATGGCTTACGAATCAGGTATCGGCTTTGCGCGAGGATCTGGTCAAGGACACGGCATCCGCAGACGGACAATGGCGTTCCATGTCCGAAATAGAATCCGTACGGACGGGCTACTCCGGCGGCAAAGATATGTCCGCAGGTTTAGTTCCTTTCTGCCCAGAAATAAAGTTCACCCAGGACCACGAAAGTGTGTTGCAACACTGTCTGTTAAAATATCTGCTGAGAAATCAATCTGTTCTCGATTCAGGATAGGGAATCTAGTAACGTTAAATCTCTTATCTGTTCTGGCAGTTGTTTCCTGCAGTGCGTTTAAGAATCAGCTCAGCCCCTACGACTGTAAAAGATGGCCCAGATTCGTCTTACATCTAATCTCTGCTCATTGTACTTACCGAAACTTGGGACAAAGGAATGGCCAGCATAAGCCATCAAACAATGTCGTCAATCAATACAGTTGCGGTGTTCGGCGTAAGTCCTCTTCCAAATACCTTTTTACAACAGTACTAGAAGCCGACTTTGAGATGGCGGTTATCACTTAGGTACTCAATTGACTGAAAGTCGTTCCCACCGCAGGTGAAGATAGCCATCACCGACTCCAGTACACAATCGCTACACCAAGCGTTGACAGGACAAGACGCCGTGCTATGTGTCCTGGGCCATACTGTATCTGACAGGCAGGTTGATGTGATCAATGCTACTGCGAAGGTCGGCGTCAAGACGTTCAACCCAAGCGACTTTGGAACTCCCAAAGGGCCCAACGACGTCCCGGAGTACCGCGCTATCCTGAGGAAAAAGGCACAAGCACACGCGCTTCTGGAGGAGAAGGCCAAAGAAGACGACAAGTTCACTTGGACCTCATTCTGGAATGGTTCTCTTCTAAACCGGGTGAGCATTGTACGATGTTGTTTTCACGAGATTCCAGTGCCTAACGGAAGTCTCAGTCTATGGCCTTGTTTCCCAATTTCGGCTTCGACCTCAAGAACCACTCAGTCACGATTTACAACTCAGGCAACGAGTCCTTCACAGCTATGAGCATTGGAAGGATCGGCAAGCCAATCGCTGCAGTCTTCAAGCATCCCGAGGAGACAAAAAACCGATATGTCAGGCTTTTCGCTTTTACAATCTCACAGCGAACAATCCTCGAAGCACTGGAGGGACTGACGAACTAGAAGTGGGATACTGCCACGGTCAGCACGGAAGAAGCCAGGCAAGAAGGCAAGATCAAATTGCAGAGAGGTGACTCTGAAGGGGCATCCTCCCGTGGCTCAACTCTATGAGGATAGAGCCGGCAGATCCGTCCTGGACGGGGCAGATAATGAGTTGCTCGAGGTTGAGCCTGAAGAACTAGATGAGGTGTTAGAAAGGCGATGGCTTGGGCTTAGCGGTCAGGACTCCTCCGGAAGGGTGCTAGTAAGAGCTAGCAAGAGGGACACAAGCAACAAAGGAGCAGCTTGTATATATATCACGCAGGGAGCATACCCCTAGCTAGGAGGCAGATGTCAGTGATTCGTCCTTTTAACCCTGAAAGTAGTTGGCTTCTGTGAGCTTCTTCCCTGTGTCGTACACACATTGACAGCACCTCACAAAGTAGTGTGGCATCGGGGGCCGTAATAACCCCTGCATCACGAGATAAAGTATCTTTTGCTTAGGTAAACCCCAAGAATAGAAAGTCATAACGTGAAGGAGTCACGGCAGTCGCCAGTGTATCGCACCTTCCTCAGGGTCCAAGGTCGCTCGGTCCGCACCTTCCCACCTCACTTCGGCTCCTTCCTGCACTAATTACCTGACCTCAGACATACGGGCGCATCTCCCCTTCCGACCCAACCTCCCCGCCTCAGTACACGTCAACCCGTCACAACTTTACAACTTCTTCACGCAGAAAGCACCTTGTTCATTCCTTCAATTCACCAGCGCGCACTACTCTAATCTCTCACTTCTTTTCCCCGTCCCAAGCGAGTGCTTTCCCTGATAGGACGAGCCCAAGCCTTCCATAATCTCCGACATCGCTCATCGATATCACTCACCTCCAGCTTCACAGCTATTCTTCCACCGATCCGACGAACTTTCGCGAATTCTCCTGGTACCTAGACAGAGACACGTCGAGTACCTTGTTGTCGTAAACAGAGACAGCATCGCGATGTACAACTACTGGGAGTGCAACACCTGCAATCGCGGCTTTGGCAGCGAGCATGCAGTCCAGCAACACATGGATGCACTGGGCCATTGGGGTTATGAACATACACCCCAATATCATAGCCGCCCCAGCTATGAATGCAACGATTGTAACGATCGGTATTCCGACGAGCAGGATCTCCGCGACCACGAGGCCGAGAAACACAACTACTGCGGTCTTTGCGACCGCTATTTTAACAACCAAAACAACATCCGGCAGGTCAGTCAATCTCATCCATTCTCGTCTTCAACAGCATAACTCATCATGATTAGCACTTGAACTCTAGGGTTCATCGCAGCACCGGCGATATCCAGTGCCCCTTCTGCAAGCAGACAAGCAACACTGCAACTGGTCTTATCCACCATCTTGAGCGGGGTGCCTGTCCCAACGCCCCTCTGGACCGCGATAAGCTCTACCAGGCCGTGCGCGCCCGCGACCCCAACGGAGTCATCTGCAAGAAGCTTTTACAGTGGCACGCATCTCCTACCTACACCGCCACCGACCGAACATACAATGAACACATCGATGCTTACGAGTGTTATCTCTGTCACCGTGCCTTCTCGTCTTTGAGTGGTCTCAACCAGCATCTCAACTCTCCCGTTCATCAACAGAAACTCTACCACTGCCCGAACCGTCGTTGCGGTCGCGAGTATACCACCCTCGCCGCGGTCATCAACCACCTCGAAAGCGAATCCTGCGGCTATATGCGCTTTAAGGCAGTGCAGAAGAACGTTGGACAGATTCTCGATCCGCGTCGGATGCTTTCTCTCTAATGGAAGGTGCGATACTTGTGAGAGTATTCTCGAAACAGTGGGCGTACGATGTGCGAACATGTGGGTACGGGTCTGCCGCGCGCCATGAAAATACTTTGGCGAGACTGGTGTGAGACGATATGGAAGCGTGGAGCCGAGAAATCGTGGCTGCCAATATGTTGCAACTGTACAAGCTGATCGTGTCGTTTGTGTCTAGATTCCCTCAACGATAGGTCAAGGGATTGAATGAAATATTTTCTCTGTAATTGATTCGTTCCCCGGGCACGATCCGTCAGGCAATAAGGCACAGTTGATTTCTGCATTGCGGCTCACTCAAAGAGGCATTTACCAATGAAAGGCCTGGCTTGCTTTATTGACTACCAATAGGGTGCAGGCGGTTCCAAACGAGATCTGGGCTCGCTTATCCATTCGTACCCATGATGTTGGGGAAAATGCGGACTCACACCCTCCGAAAACCATGCGTATCCGGAACTGCAAACCGAGTCCAGACGCTATGGGGCCGTCTGTCATTGGTGCCATAATAAGCCTTTGCCTGAATCGAGTCCGGTATCCAAGACATATCGCGCTTGCTCCCGCATTGCCGGGCCCAATTGGTAACAGAGACCAACGGAGCCCGTCAAGATGACACCTAAATCAGAAAGCAGCTTGTGAGTGTATCCCCTGGGATCTAGGTTCCTACCAATACATTTAAGGCTGATTCTGTCTGCATTCGAGACTGATGAGGGTCTGTTTCAGTCAGACTTGTCCTTCTCATGCTCTTATCCGGCATATCTTCTCTCAAACCGCATGAGCCTACGACTCTTCAAGAAATAATTACTAAGGTCCTCAAAAGGATTGTAGTCTACCTAGCTCAACAGGCAAACCCTCAGTATTCTGAAACTCGTCTATATCTACCATGGGCTTAGAACAAACGCACAATGGGGACGTAGATGGCAACACCGATACGTCAAAACCCACGCACCCAACACTCAACACCATCGATTTTAACCTCCAAATTGGCGTTGAAGAAATTCTCACCGATGTTGATCCCGATGTCTCTCTGGAGTTTTTGCAGAAGGCCGAGGCTCACTCTGGAAAGCCTCCTCCAACGCGCACATCGAGAGAGGTGCTCGTCAGCACGCACAATAACTATGTTGAGCAGCAACAAAAGTCTGGGCAGCAAACAGGGCCGCGAATGGTAAAGAAGGTCGTGTTGGCACTGTCATATCCGCCGTCTGTCAAGTCTGTGGCGGATCTCACACCGGTACGTAGTTCTCTCAGACATGAGGCAATTCGGCCAGAATCGCATCCGCTTACCCATGTCCAGATGCGCCTTGACGAGCTTTTGGTAGAGAATCATCACGAGGAAAAGTACCTCCTCCTCAGGACAATCGTTCAGCCCTACCCAGGAGCCGGGACTATTACCGTCGTCGAAGATCAACATGGCAGCGTTGATAAGATGGCTCTTTACAATCAGGGCAACTCTACAATTTTGCAGTCTATCCCGGAAGGCTCAATGGTTCTCGTGAAAGAACCATATTATCGTTTCAGCGGCGACAACGACTTCATGCTTTGTGTTGACCACCCCTCAGATATTGTGCTTCTTCGACCAGGCCCAGACGATGCGCTCATCCCAGAGCTTTTCAGGGCGGTGCCAGAGTTCGAGACTGCCGCTGACTGGAAGGCCGCTGGGGATCGAGCCTTTATCTCCAAGAATCTCCCTTTAGCAGTGGCGAAGTGAGATGAACCACCCTTTCTTCCAATTGAATACGGGCTTATGCGAGTTTTGTAGTTACACCAGGGCTCTAGAATTGGCCTCAGAGAAAGACACCTCCTTCCTGATTGATGTTCTATTGAAACGAGCGGGGATCAATCTTACCCTTAATTGTTATGACGGCGCACTATCAGACGCTCTCTCCTCGAGAGGGGCATCCTCAGACTGGAAGTCGCATTTCATTGCGGGCAAGGCGGCTTACCAACTCACGGATTTCCAGATTAGCAAGCTACACTTCGACTCGGCTCTAGCACTCAAACCCGAGGCAGCCAACATCCGGAAGGAATACGAAAGATGCGAAGCAAGACTCGAGGAAGAAAAAGGCAACTACAATCTCGCAGATATGACAGCGAGTGTCACTTCCAAGAACATCCACATCGACAGAGCAAGCTTTTTGTCACGCACCCAAGTCAGAGACTCACCACACCACGGGCGCGGCCTCTTCGCCACAGAAAACATCAAGGCCGGGGAGATGGTATTCGCAGAGAGAGCAACAAGTGTTCCTAACGAATTCAATCCAGAACACAACGCAGCTGCAGCATACGCCCAGCTCGTGGAGATGTGCACAGATAACCCAACAATTCACAAGAAGGTTCTAGACCTCCACGGAGGGTCCTACAAGCGCACCGGCCAAGAAGGCACACTTGTCGACGGCAGACCAGTCATCGATGTCTTCCTTCTCGAGTCTATCCGCCGCAAGAATTGCTTCAGTGGCGCCCAGGTGTCGGCGCAGGCCGCGAATTCAGAATGGAACATGTGGAAGCAGGGCATGTCGCGCGGGCTCTGGGTGTATTCGGCCTATGCCAACCACGCGTGCCTTCCCACTGCTAACAGGTCCTTCATCGGAGACATGCTCATCGCCACGGCTACTGTGGATATTCCTGCCGGCACTGAGATTACACATATTTACCTGCCTCCTAAGGCGGCGTACCTCCATCGAATGCCGCAATTCCGCCGCAGCTGGGGTTTCGTCTGTAGCTGCGCCCTCTGTGCCGGTGAATCCGGGTCCTCGACGGAGCAGCACCAGAAGAGGAATACTGTTCTTGCAGAGATCGAGGCCCTCATCAGGAGAAAGCGTCCAACCAAGTTCTACCCCGACGCGATGATTCGACAGGTCGAGAAGTTAGCAAACAAGCTCTCTGGTCTTCATGAGAAAGAGGTCTACGATGACCTTTCATTACCGCGCCTCATGCTCGTCTGGCCGACGATGTGGCTCATGGAAGTATGGCACACCAGGAAGCAATGGAAGAAGGTCGTCAAGTGGAGTAGTGAGGTTTTCCGCAACTTTGGCTTCGTCGACCCGGTGAGAGAGGGGAGGCTGTGGATGTATAAGGACACGCAGGCGGTGACGACGTTTGAGGTCATAAGGGCTTTGAAATGGTCGGCCGAGGCCTACACCGCACTGGGCGAAGGGGCATTGGCGAGAGATTGTTTGGATGCTGCGAGGACTGGGTTGAAGACCATGGTTGG